ACAGAGCCTGAGAAGACAGTCACAATCAGATACAGGTAAGAAGCCCGGGGATGTGCTGGGAGCCTGCAAGTGCAGAATTTCCTTCATCCAAGTGTCCCAGATCTGTGCTGCTCACCATGCAGCCACTAGCCACACGTGACTATTAAGTGCTTGAAAGGTAGCTGGTGTGACCAAGAAAATGATATTTAATTTACTTAAATTTAAATTTTAAAATGGATTAGCTATTCAGCTATTCGACAACATTGATTATGTTTGGAAAACTTGCACACGTGAACCTAATTTTTCAATTGCAAATTTTGTGAACTCTCAAAGCAGATCAAGTATGAAAATGTAACATCTGAATTGTGCGGTAAGTGTAAAATACACTTTCGAAGACTTAGTATGAAAATAATAAATCTCTAGTTAAGAATTGTGGTATTTGATTACATGTTAAAATGATAATATTTTGCATACATTGTGGTATATAAAATAAGTTATGAAAATTAATTTCAGTTGCTACTGTTTACTTTTTAAGATGTGGCTACTAGCCAGGCATGGTGGCTTAGGCCCATAATCCCAGCAATTCAGGAGGCTAAGGCAGGAGGATTGCTCGACGCCAGGAGTTCAAGACCAGCCTTGGTAACAGAGTGAGACCTGTCTGTACCCCAAAAAAAAAAAAAAAAAAAAATTAATGCGGCCACTGAAAACATTTATGTTACCTATGTGACTGACACACTATAACTCTATTAGATAGCACTGCCAAAATGAAGGTGATGTTTATACAAGAGGAAGGAAATTCTCTAAGTTGGCTGGCTTAGTGTTCACCTCTACTCCCATTTTAGAAGGCAGTAGCCTTGACTGTATGTGAGAAATTTGACAATTCTATTGAGATTTTGGAATAACAGCTCCAAAATTCTTTCTGATTCTGTCCACTGCAGAGTAGCTAGGTTTGGAGCCTTCCTATCACCAAAAATAGCTATAAAAGCTAGGCAAAATCAAGAAAACAAAGGATGCAAGGCACTGGAGAGCAACAGCATGGACAGGCTTCAAGGAGCCCGTCCTCTGGAGGAGCTGGGCAGGCCCCATGTGCCCCAGTTTACTTGAAGAGTTTCTGAATTGCAGTCCAGGAAATAAAACAAAGCAGAAAGTGATTGTTTCTCTTAACCGAGGATACAGGAATCAGAATTTGAGGCTGCCTAGGTGCCTGGAATTTAAAGGCAAAATCCCAGAAAGAAAGGAATTGAAGGGAAAAGGCTCAAAATGCTGCATTCAATTTTTCCTTCATTGGCTGATTACCAAGATGTGCTGTTTTGAGGGAAAACAAAGCCAGCCTGTGGGAGGCTAAAGCCTTGCATGGGAATTTTGGCAGCCATGCTGTGCTGGGAAGTCAGAAATGGGAGCGAATGCCTAGTAGGAAGTGTGTATGGGGGCAGGGCTGGTGTTTTAGCCCTTCCACCTCCGCCGGTCCCCCAGCTTCCAGGTGAGACCACAGAAAACCTCGCCCTAGGATTAACGGTTTCACAACCCATGAGTAAGAGCAAATGTGAAGTATGCCCCAGCTTCGGGTAGGTCTTAATGATGTCTAAAACCAAGCCAAATTGCCCAGCTTGCTGCTCTCACCCCTCTCCAAGCATAGGAACCCTCCTCCAGCTGGCCTTGGCCTTTGCCCAGCTTGCTCTGCAGAGCTGCCTGTCCCTTAGCCAGCACTCTGTATGCTGATGACCACAGTGGTGATGTCTGCTAAGGCGAGGCTCACCTCTGATCATTTTTTCCTGACTTGTTTATCAAGTTTTGGTCACTCATTCTTCCACATGAATTAAACACACATCTTTTTCAGTTTCAGAAACAAGTGTGTCCTTTGCCAAAGAGCGAGCTAGGGTCGCCCATTAATACACATGAGGAGAGAAATGGCAAATGGGTAAAGTGGAAAACACCATTTTCATTTCGAAGCTGTTCGTGGCCAGATGGCATGCAGAGAGCCCAGCAGTGCTCAGTCCAGATGTGGTAGGCTCACTCACCGCACAGCCTTCCTTTAGCTCACACAGCTGTGTAGACGCTCCTCCCTGGTTTAGGAAGCAGGGAGAGGTGAGGGGAACCAGGCCCTGCCTCAGATGCTGCTGGCTCACTAGGAAGCCAGTCAGCACTAGAACTGGGTGGAATAGAACAGGGGGTATGTAGATTGACAACCAGCACTAGCAGAATGAAACTCTCGCCAGGGGGGATGAAAGGAGGCATCACAGGGATAGTGGCGCTCCGGCAGGGGATTAAAAGATGGACATGGTCTCATGAGTAGCTAAGAAGAAGCAGAGGGAATTTGTGAGCAAAACCCAGGAGTGGGAAAGAAAAAATTATCCAAGGCATGGTTGTAGGTGTGGTTTGAGGTGGGAGATGTGAACTGCCAGAATGACACTCCGGTAGGGCAACGTGGGATGCAATGTGCCCCAGAGGGAGCGGCAGGGTGCAGGCAAGGCACAACTCCAGGTGATGGGGAGGGGCAGATGAGAAGAGGATAGGGATGGGAATGGGGGTGAGTAAAAAGAAATTATTGGCTGTGACTATTACACTAATTTCCATTGCATAAATGGAAGAATTCGCATTTCTAGATTTAAAAAGGTGCGAGAAGGAGTCTTAAAAATTAATTTCATTAATCAGGACAGAATGTGTTCAAAAGACTGCTTTGGTTTCAGAGTCCTGGTGATATAAGCCTTGACTGTGTGCCCACCTAAATCTCATCTTGAATTGTGGTTCTCATAATCTCCACGTGTCATGGGAGAAACCTAGTGGGAGGCAATTGAATTATAGGGGCGGTTACCTTCACGCTGTTCTTGGGATAGTAAGTTCTCACGAGATCTGATAGTTTTATAAGGAGCTTTTCCCCCTTTGCTTGGGACTCATTCTCTCTTCTGCCACCCTGTGAAGAGGTGCCTTCCACCATGATTGTAAATTTCCTGAGGTTTCTCCAGCCATGCAGAACTGTAAGTCAATCAAACCTCTTTTCTTTATAAATTACCCAGTCTTGGGTGTTTCTTCATAGCAGTGTGAGAATGGACGAATACACCCGGTAAGAATCTGTCCACAGACCTCCACATTTGCTCCTTTAGGATGGGAGTCCTCAGTGTTTCTTTTTAATTATTTTTATGATCATCCAGCCCACAATGTCGGTCCCAATGTTTTTGACTGCACAAGTTTAAAAAAAATTGAGGATGCACTTCAAATGTGTGTATATTTGTTATTCATGCATCCTCTGAGGACTTATGCATACCATTATTCTAATATATTTGCATACATTATAAAAACATGCAATAAGAAATAGTATATTTTAGGCTGGGCATGGTGGTTCACCGTAATCCCAGCACTTTGTGAGGCTGAGGCAGGCGGATCATGAGGTCAGGAGATCAAGATCATCCTGGCCAACATGGTGAAACCCCGTCTCTACTAAAAATACAAAAATTAGTTGGGCATGGTGGCACGCACCTGTAATCCCAGCTGCTCAGGAGGCTGAGGCAGGAGAATTGTTTGAACCTGGGAGACGGAGGCTGCAGTGAATCGAGATCCTGCTACTATACTCCAGCCTGGGTGACAGCGCAAGTCTTCGTCTCAAAATAGAATAATACAAAAAAAGAAACACTGATATATATATTGTCAAAACAACAACAACAAAAACGAGATTTTGGCCCAAGACCCCGAACCGACCTCAAATCCTTTCCCTCCCAAGACATGAATGGTGGAGAGGTCTCACAGAGAAGCAGCTCCTGCCTGGTTTTTTCAGTTGAGGAAGGTCATCTTCTACTAGACAAAAACATCTGAGGGAACAAAATGTTAGTTTAAGACTTCAGCTGTATTGTCTCTAGAGGCTTCAAACTTCTTTAGAAATTAGGCATCTTCTTAGAAGTGATTGATTTTTATGGTCATCTGGAATATTTAAAATCAGAACATTCTATCTAGCCAAGTACTGTGCCCCCTCACATCCATCTTTCAATGGAAGTTTCAGAAAGGCAATCCTTTGTTCAATTTTACTAAGAAAAATCTCAGCTTCAGTTCAGTCACTGGGAGGATGTGGTTTAAGGAGCAAATAGTTTCTGAGACCCTGTCTTCTGAACGTGAAAAATCCTGGTTAGCTGGTAGGAATCCTAGAGCTCCAAGCTGGCAGCCCTCATGTGAGTCTTGTGGGTGAGAGCTCCACATGTGGACCGCATGTGTTAGTGAAACAGAGTCATTCACAGTTCAAAGCCATTTGAGAATGCACAGGTCAGCCCCATTATTCGTGGAGTCTATTGGTGATTTTGCCTACCTGCTGAAATCTATTAGTAACCCTTACCTGCTGAACCAGTTCTCACGGTATGTTTGTGGTCATTCAGATATGTGCAGAGCAGGGGAAATTGGAGTCACTAGCACCTGTGTTTCCAACTGAGCCAGGGCAGGACCTGTGTGTTCCCTGCCTGTTCCAGCTCTTGTGCTGTAAACAAGTGTGCTTCTCCTGATCTATTTTGCCATGTGTTTCTCGTTTTTGTGCTTCTGTTGGTGATTGTGCGGTTTCAAATGGCCTTTGAGCACAGTGTAGAGTGCTTTCTGGTGTTCCTAAGAGTGAGAAGGCCATGATGTTCCTTATGGGGAGAATATGTGTGTTAGAGAAACTTCCTTCAGGCGTGGGTTATGGTGCTATTGGCTGTGAGTTCCCTGTTAACCAACAATTTACACTAATTACATTATCTTTAAAAAGAAAGACCTGGTGGCACATCCTACCCTCACCCCTCAGTGGCCTGCACACCTCCCTCCATGGAGACCAGTGTTGGAGAACCCAGGTTTTCACTCCAATGCTTTTGACTGCAAAAGCCTTTGCAGTCTGACCTCAGAGTATCTGTGCAAAATTCCCTGTTGAGGGGGCCCACAGGGCTTCACAAGATTTCCAAATGGTTTATGAACCACAGACACTTCAGACTCAGTTCTCTTGAGAGTGAACACAATTGTAAAGGTCTTTTAAAAAAAATATTGATGTGAAAGTCACATCATAGAATTAATCATTGAAAGTGAACAGTTCAATGACATTTACTGCATTGGCAGTGTTGTGCAACCACACCTCTGTCTCAGCCCAAAACATCTGCATCACAACACTATCCCCTGCAAAAAGAACCCTCTGAGGATTAAATAGTTGCTTCCTGTCTCCCACTTTCCCCAGGCCCTGCTAGCAATTCGTCTAATAAATTTACCTATTCTGGACATTTCACAAAAATGAAATCATACAACATGTGAATTTTGCATCTGATTTTTTTTCCACTTGGCATCATGTTTCCAAGGCTCATATAGTAGTTTTTACAACAATGATCACGATAACAATGAGAATGACACAACAGCAGGAAATGCTTAAGTTCCTACAGGTGTGGTTCTGGCATGCGTTGGAACAGCCATTCTCTCTTGAGGGCCAGGGCTCAACTCCCTCCTCCACGTTGTAAATGGAGTATACTCTTGGGGTCCAAGATTGGGGGAGGTTCATAATCTGTAAGGGCCGAGCACAGAAACCCTGCAGACATGCCTCACAGTGGTCACTATCATGGGACCCTTCCAGAGAGATGTCCTTGATCACAGGAACCTCCTCTATCAACTGAAATCTTTCTCTATAGCATTTCTTCAGAATTTGGAAGACAAGGTTTTTCAGGACCCTTGAGGTGTTCTCTTGCGTGAACTCAGGGGCCTCAAACAGAGGTTGGGGGCACTTCTTACAGCTCTGGGTAAACACCCTCATCTTCACCTGGCCCCTGGACTTCTCCTCACTCCAGTGCATGTGGAAAAGGACCAGAACTTGGCTAGAGTTCCAATTGCGAGAGCAGGAGGAACACTGGAACCTGTGGAGACAGAAGAGAGCCTCAGCCTGGCTACATCATGGGGTGCCGCCAGAGAAAGAAAGGACCTACCAACCGCACGGAGACGTGACCTGACTGGGGCTGTGGCTCAGTGGTGGAAGAAATTACTAAGACCTCGTTCCCGTCTCCATCGTGCCATCCATGTGCTGCATGCCTGACAGTGTCTGCTATGAAAACAGTGAACCAGAAGCTGGCAGAGCTGGGAGGGACCTTGGGCATTGCCTAAGTCCAACATGCTCATCTTGGGGGTGAGGCACACTCTGAAAACTCCTCCTGTCCAGAGACCCAGTGGGTGTAAAAGGCATGACTAGGACTCTGGTCTCCTGATTACAAAGCAAAGCTGCTTCAAATAGGACAGAGGCCGCAAGTGCAACAGCAGCCAATTCAGTTCAGAACCCTGAAATCCACAAATGCATGCAAGTGGGTGTTGATCAAGTTATAGACTCAAGGGAGCCTGAAGGGACCAGGGTGTTCCTAGAGAGAAGCCTTTGCCTTTCCTTTGGCCACCCCGGGTTCCCGGTCTGCAGTGTTGCAGGGAGATCACAGTGTCCGACTCTCTCTTCATGTGCTCCCCCTCCAACCCAGGTCCTTTGCTCGAGGTAGCCTGGAAAACTTCATATTTTGAATGCCACCGGCTTCAGACAGGGTACAAGGGAATGACACCTTGTCTCAGCAGGGAGGAGGGCAACTTTCTGAGCTAAGGTATCTGGACAGATACACGTTAGGAGGTAGAGTGAGAAGGCAGGAAGCACATGGCGGCACCCAGGGGAGGAATTTTGGGAGAGGCAGAGGGCTGCAAAGTGTGGCGGAGACATTTAGTCCTCACCAAATTATCCATGCGCTCCCTCCCACTTCCCAGCCCCTTTGCAGTGAGGTTGTGGCCTTGGGACCAGTTGGCCAATGAGATGACGCCAGCACTGATAAACGTTCCTTCCAGATATGCTCACAGAAGCCCTGGTAAGACATTCCAGCTCTCTCTTCCTCTGCCTTGGTGACCTTGGAAGCCACATGTAAGGTTAAATCAGTGATATTACCAGTTTTATGTGTCACTGTAGCTGAGCTTAGCCTTGGCTTGATGCCTGGTTACAGAGAAATTAGGCTGCGGGTGGTGAATTGGAGGGGATTGAGAAGAATGAGTTAGGCCAGGGTTTGCTCCTTGACTCTAGCAGCAGCTCACAGGGTGAATGCGAGGTTGAAATGAGAGGGAGAGGCCAAGAAGCTGTGACCACTGCGAGAGCACGTTGGTGGCAGCCACCCACAGTCAGCAGTGCAGAGGGGCCTGGGCCCGGCTGAGCAGAAGTCCACTGCCATCCCCTGGGTCTCAGTGCTCTGATTCTGTGCTGGCTCAGAGTTCCAACTTCCCACAGATAAATGGACGGAGACTTCGGTGCAATGGTCCCCGTGGCAGCTCCTGGCCTGGGAAAGCTGTAGGCCAGCAGGAGAGCTCTGCTCCCTCTGTGTAGACTCTCCCCGGGAGGGGGCAGCAGGTGGGACAGAGTCCCCTGCCTTCACCCTCTGTGCACTGTGGGTAGTCGCCCCCCTCACCCTCCCAAGCCTTAGGGCTCCCCATTCCCACATGGAAAAGAGAGGATGAGACTTTGGATGATTTCTGACTCCTATTTTAAAAATATTCTCTCAGCTCAGAGTTGAGAGGGACAGGATTGCTGCCTGTTGCCCAGGCCTCCTGCTCCTCCAGCCTCCCCCATGGGGTCTCCTCCATGCTGTGAGTCACTCCTCCTAGGGGCTCCATGATGGGTCCAGGAGTCTCCCTTGGCAGGAGGCACATGCACTGCCCCGTGGGTGCGACAGCTGCCCTTCCTCCCCCCCTTTCCTGGCTACTCCCTGTCCCCACCCCCACAGTCTGGTTTCTCTGTATCCAGGCATTAGCTCTCAATAGTGTTCAGGCCTGCTCTTATTTGGTGGTTCATTGTAATAGTGAAAAAAGTCTTTTTTTTTTTTTTTTTTTTCAAGATGGGGTTTCACCATGTTGGTCAGGCTGGTCTTGAACTCCCGACCTCAGGTGATCTGCCTGCCTTGGCCTCCAAAGTGCTTGGATTACAGGCGTGAGCCACCACGCCCGGCTGTAAAAAACACTCTTTAATGAAGTTAAAACTTCTTGGATGATGGGCATCTTACTTCCCACAGTCTTCAATTTGCAAGCATGGAATGGAACAAGAAAATAACAGGTAAACCTAGTAAGAAATGAGGAAGGATTTTCTGGAATGCATGCCATTGCATTCCCCCTCACCTGGCGGAGGTCCACTGCTGGTATTGCATCCACCCTGGCTTCAGGACGTCGGGAAGAAGGCCTCTGTCTGGCGTCAGGGCCCATCTGTGCCATGGCTTCACCTCCCGCATTAACTCCTGAAACATCTGCTTCCATACTCCTGTGTCCCAAGCCATTTCTGCTGCTGTGGTGTGCCTGGGTGGGTCGAACTCTCCTGGGCCCTGGCAGGTCTGTAGTGGGAGATGAGATTTCTCACTTCAGAGGACGAGGGCTCAGACCTGCTCTCCCTTTGAGGACCTGGATTGGGCCCATGGACCACGTCTCTGCCCCAGGGACAAAGGCCAGTTGGCTCCAAGTTCAGAGGATGGCACTAGGTTCCACAAGTGCCTTGGCTTGATGCCTGGTTACAGAGAAATTAGGCTGCGGGTGGTGAATTGGAGGGGATTGAGAAGAATGAGTTAGACCAGGGTTTGCTCCTTGTGAAAGACACAAAACTCGTGATTTTATTCATCAAAATGTTGCCACAGAAGAGCTCTGAACTCCAAATCAGGAGGGGTGAATTTGAGTCTGGCTTTGCTGTCTACCTGCCTATAGCCGGGAACGCATGTTTTCGCTTCTAGCACCCCTGTAAATGGTGGAGAGAGGCTGCAGTCATTCTTTCCAATGTTCTTTTTAACATTGCAAAATCCTTCTCCATCAGGCTGCTGTGCTTATGCTGGGCAGGAGAGACACAGGGAAGAAGGATGCAGTGGTCCTGGGACCTCACCGGGATTCAGATTCCTATGTCCTTGCTCCAGGCTCTTTTCATTCTGGCAGACACCCAAGGCTGCCCACCCATGAGAAATCAAAGCTGATGTAATCAGTGTTTGCCCGGGCAACAGGTACAAGGGCACGGGTCGGTGAGAGGCCATTAGCCCTAGCCCTAGGCAAACCCAGAGTCACTGCCCTCCTTTCTGAGGGGATTCCTCATCCTCCACTACCTGCAGGAGAGGATTGAGGAAGAAGAAGAGGGAGGATTAGGGAGTGGGCACTGGAGTGGGCAACACCCCAGGAAGGTACACAAGACTCTGGGTATCCACACCCCAAGACCTGTCCACAAACTGCAGGTGTATTCCTCTGAGCCAGACACTGACCTGTGTCCCTGGCCACCTCTCAAGAGGAGCAGAGGAAGGAAGGGAGCAGGGCAGGGAGGAAAAAGGAAAGTAAGCTGGGGATGCACGGGGAGAGGGATTCTTCTGGGGCAGTTGGAAAAAAAATCCACCCCTTCCTCCTTTCCAGCCCAGCTTCCTGCAGCTCTTGCTCTTGGGTTCAGCTCCTTGGCAGGCTCAAGTCCTGGGTCTCCGCTCTTTCCAAGCCAGTTTAGTTTCTCAGCATTAGAGCTGTCCCTCAGTTCCAGGGGGACTGGTTCCAGGGCCCCCTGCAGATACCAAAATCCTCAGATGCTCAGGCCCCTTATGTAAAATGGCACAGCACTTGCACATCCTTCTGTATACTTTAATTGATCTCTACATTACTTATAATACTTAATATAATGTAAATGATATGTAAATAGTCGTTATGCTGTATTGATTTTAAACTGCGAACTAAAAATAAGATCCTAAGCCCCTGAACCAACTGAATGGACCTGCTTTTGGCCAAGGCGACTCCTGAGAAACTTGAAAAACTAAAGACCCAGCTCTGACAGGAGGGGAGGTTGAACACACCTTATCATTCCTCCTCCCTTTGGAATTTAGGGACAAGCGACCAGCACTGAGGTTAAAACAGACATCATAAGACTGACAAAATAGACTGCTTGTCGAAATAAGACAACCAAATTATAAACACGACCTAAGGCCATGCATGGTAAACGTTGTACCCTACAAACTGTAGTATCTCATTAAAGGGGGTTTCATTAACCTGCTCTAATGGGGCTATTTTCCAATCTGACTCGGTACAGCGTCGCATGCCAGAGAGCTGACCTCCTTAACTTAAGCATTCCTTTTGCTGACTTTGTCTGTACACAACGCTTAAGTCATTCAACCCACTGCTAATTAAAGAATCCCTAAAACCCAGCTGTGACACATAAATCCCCCACTTAGAGAATAACCCCACCTTTTCAGGTGCACTTTCTCAGGTCCTCTTGAGACTGTTCCCCAGGCCATGGTCATGTACATTGGCTCAAGATAGACTTCTTTAAAAATATTGTACAGAGTTTTCTTTTTATCCCCTGCATCTACAGCATCCTTGACATAAATAACTCCATCCTAGAGAAAGGCTCCTTCTTAGATTTCAAAAGGCATCGTGCCAACAGGCACCAAGTGATATTTATCAACACAAATACAAGCCTGCATCATGACGTCTTACCTGGCAAGGGCAAGGCAGGCTCGGTGCTCCCTTCCCTCCCTCCAGGGGATGGCTTTGGCATGACCCTCCACACATTCATCTCAGCCTTCCAGCCCAGAGGCCATTCTCCTTGGAACAAGGTCAGTGTGTAGCTTGGACACTCACTGCCACTCTTTCTGAACACTGGGCTGGGCCCTTGTGTGCTACTGGGAGAAGCCCATCTCTGAAAGTTGGGGCTTTGTACCCCAGGGCAGGTGGGGTGAGATGGGAGGGGCATGGGTCTCCTCCACTTCCTTGCTGACTTCCAGGTGGCCTTAAGTCAAATCTTTGTTTGCCCAGGGGTAATATAAGTATTTTCCCAGCTCAGGTCATGCTCCACGCTCACCACTTGGACACCCCCTTCCTTTTCCCTGCAGATACTGTGCACTAGCAGTGATGCCAGGCATGATATTGTGCCAAGGGCACAGAGTTAGATAATTTTGAATGAATGGAGGAATTTCTGCACCCTCTGGGGGAAACATCTTGAACTGCTGCCTCTGTTTCTCCCTTTAAGTGTTCATGTCAGGATCACCAAGCACTGAGTCTAGCAGGGTGAGAGGAAGTGAGCTCTTGGGCTGAAAGCCTGGGTCTCCAGGAGCTCCAAGAGACATGCCATCAATGTCCAGAGTGTCAAGGACAGTAACTGTCATTAGTCAGACAATTTATTTGTGTGCGCAGGTGTTTGTATGTCAGAAACTACTTTTAAAGCCCCCATTCTGGGGGTGGGTAATCAATAGAACAGACCGAATCTGGGAGCTCCTCAGGCCTGCTAGCCACTCTCTGCTCCGGTTCCTGCCCTGTGGTGTGTGCAGACCCTGATAGCTCCCCTGCAGCAGGGAGAGCCCCACCAGGCTGCTCTCCTCCATACCTGCCAAGTGCGGCATAGCCCTTCCAGCAGAAATGGCAGCCAGTACTTATCGGGGCTTTGGTGTGAACCTAGTTCAATTTTTTTTTTTTAACCAGGTCAGTTTCCCTTTTTTTTTTTTTTTGACACGGAGTCTCACTCTGTCACCCAGGCTGGAGTATAGTGGCGAGATCTTGGTTCGCTGCAACCTCCACCTCCCAGGTTCCAGTGATTCTCCTGCCTCAGTTTCCCGAGTAGCTGGGACTACAGGTGCATGCCACCACGCCCGGCTAATTTTTGTACTTTTTAGTAAAGATGGGGTTTCACTATATTGGCCAGGCTGAAGAAAGTCCATTTTAAGAGCATGAGTTAATGTGAATATTTCTAATTAAGTGGTTTTTTTTAAACCTTGCTGTAATGTAAGTGGATATTAATCAACATTTCCTTCTTTCAACTAACACTGGTGTGCTGATATCTGTTATCATAACAACAACAGCAACAAAAATGAGGCTTCAGGCCAAGACCCTAAACTGACCCCCGAAACTCCTTCCCCTTCCCAAGACAGGAGCAGTGGAGAGGTCCCCCATACTGCAGCAGCCCTGCCCAATGTTTGCAGTCAAGGAAGGTCATTTTCCATGAAACAAAAATATATTTGAGGCAACAAAATGGATATTTAAGCTTCAGCTATGTTGTCTCTATAGACTTCAATTCAGTGTCTTTAAAAATTAGACATCCCCTTAAAAGGAACTGATTTTTGTCATCATCTAGAATATTGAAAATCACAACTTTTTTTTTTTTTTTTGAGATGAAGTCTCGCTCTGTTGCCCAGGCTAGAGTGCAATGGTGCCATCTCAGCTCACTGTAACTTCTGCCTCCTGGGTTCAAGCAATTCTCCCTGCCTCAGCCTCCTGAGTAGCAGGTACCTACCACCATACCCAGCTGATTTTTGTCGTTTTAGTAGACACGGGGTTTCACCATCTTGGTCAGGCTGGTTTTGAACTCCTGACCTCAGGTGATCCACCCGCCTTAGCCTCCCAAAGTGCTGGGATTACAGGCGTGAGCCACTGCACCTGGCCCAAAATCACAACTTTCTATCTAGCCAAGTGTTGTGCCCCTTTATATCCATCTTTCAACAGAAGTTTCATAAAGTCAGTCCTTTGTACAGTTTTACTAAGAAAAATCTCAGCTTCAGTTTAGTTACCAGGAGAACACTTGGTGCAAGGAGTGAATAGTCTGAGACCCTGTCCTCTGAACATGAACAATCCTGGTTAGCTGGGAGGAACCCCAGAACTCCAAGCTTAGTCCTCACATGAGCCTTGTGGTGAGAACGCCACAGGTGGACCCCATGTGTTAATTAAACAAGGTTCTTCACAGTTTAAAACCATTTGAGAATGCACAGGTCAGCCCCATTATTCATGGAGTCTGTATTTGTGAATTTGCCTATGTATTACAATCTATTTGGAACCCCCAAATCAATACTTATGGTGCTTTTATGGTCATTTGCAAGCCTGCAGAGCAGGGGAAATTGGAGTCATCAGTGCCCCTCTTCCCAGCTAAGGCAAAATAGGGTGTCCCTGCCTGCTTGTTCCAGTTCTCATACTGTAAACAAGCATCCTTTTCCTGGTCTGTTTTGACACATTTTTCACATTTTTGTGCTTTTTTTTGTTTGTTTGTTTGGTGTCTTTGCTGCTTAAAATGGCCCTGAAGCACAATGCTGAAGTGCTGTTTAGTTTTCCTAAGAGCAAGAAGGTTGTGATGTGCCTGACAAGGAAAATAGGTATGTGAGAGAAGTTTCATTCAGGCCTGGGGTATAGTGCTGTTGGCTGTGAGTTCCATGTTAATGCATCAGCAATTTGTACTGATTAATGTGCCTTTAAGTGGAAACAATGTAAGGTCGTGTATTAACCAAACTGTTGTGACCAGGGGTTTGCAGGAACCTAACCCTATATTTCCCCTAGGAGCAAAGGCTCAGTATTCACTAGTCCAGTGATCATGGCAGCATTATAGAACATAACTACTGGACACAGCAAGATCAGCCACATCCCCCGTTGTTCCCTTAGTTATAGCCCTCCGTCTGTCTTTCTACTGGGACAGCGGGGTTGGTGACATTACATAACTGCTATTGCTCG